ACTGCACCACATCTGCAGCCCTTTTTATTTATTTTTTTATTCTGAGGCAGGACCTCACCAAGTTGCCCAGGCTGGCCTCAAACTGACGATGCTCCTGCCTTGGCCTCCCGAACCGCTGGAGTTACCGGCGTGCACCACTGCCGCGGCCAGGACAGTTGTTTTCCACATCTGAAAGGCTGCGTTGTAGAGTTGGGAATCAAACTGTTTGGCTCTACCCCAGTGAGTGGGATTGGGACCTGTGATGGAAGCTTCTGGAAGGGGGTTTGGATTTGTCTACAGCACTCACAGCCCTAGTTGCCAGAGACAGGGGCCCATTTCGGCAGAAGGTCCCCCCCTCGTTGTACTTTAGTGCAGATTGAACTACCTCTTGCTGGACTTGGCACAGGGATCCAGTAATGTGCTCTTGTGTGGGGTTCTTTGGTGAATCAGTTGATGAGTTGTACAGTTATTTAGCACCTACTATGTGTCAGGCTTTAAGTGGTCAGACTATAACCTTGAAGATCTTGCTCCCCTATAACCATAAAGACCTAATAAAAAAAATCTCACCTAAATTTTTTTAAATATATTTTTTTCAGTTATACATGAGCATAATATCTTTATTTTGTTTATTTATTTTTATGTGGTGCTGAGGATCGAACCCAGGGTCTCACACCTGCGAGGAGACTGCTCTACCGCTGAGCCACAACCCCAGCCCCTCACCCAACTTTTTGATTCCCGGATGCTGTGTGTGTTGTGAGTTCCGTTCTGCACCATGGAAGACCAGGGCACCAAGACCTGCAGCGAGTTTCACGTGCCACACAGCTCACTCTCTGAGCCTCAGAGCTACCTGCTTTCCTTTATTTTCAAGTCTTCAGTTCCTTTCAGGTGGAAAAAAAAAAAAAGAACAACAACAACAAAACCCAAGTCGTGTCTGCCACGCCACCCAGACCCAGTTAGCATGTTTGGACAGGATGTGCAGTTGCCCAATGTTGTCTGAAAGATGTGTTTTCCTGACTCTGGACAAATTGGAGCAGACTTTCCCTTTGATGTGCAATCTTCTGTCGTAACACACCACTCAACCAGTCAGGGTCACTCCAGGTGAACCGGGCGGGCACAAAATCATCACATAGAGACAGGGGAAGGCCTTTTTCTTTGGGTTCTGTGACAGATCTGCTGACGGAGAGGCCACAAGGAGGCGAGAAAGAGAGAGAGAGCAGGCCTTGAACTCGGGTTTTATTGGCTGTTCCATGGAATATTCTATCCCCCAAAGGGCAAAGGGGTAGGATTACAAAGGAACAGGTGAGTGTAACTCAGCCTCAGCAGGTGACATCTACTCCAGGAGCCGTGCCTTGTTATCTGAGCTTGGTAACACCCAAGTCACGGTGACCTGGCCCTGCTGTGCCAGACAGAAGGCAGTAATTGTTCAGAACTCGGTGCGTCGGGACTTAAAGGTGTCTGCATCCAGGGCAGCTCCCGACAATCTTCCAAATTGCCTGGTATCCTCAAGCAGAGGCAGATCACATGCAGGGACTGTGGTTCCACGGCCTGTGACCCATGGTGCTCTGGCTAGGGAGGGCTGTGGATTCCTTGCTCAGTCACTCTCACTATTCTCTGAGCTTGGATCCCCCAGATTGCTGCGGAAACCACACATTTCCAAGCAAAACTATTTCTTTTTAAAATATTTTTGAGTCTTTTTTTTTCACATCTGTGGATATCTCCTGCATGCTTAGGAATCCTCATCAGATGATGCAACTCAACCTATCTTCTGCAGCGGGCCACCCCCAAGGCCAGCAGGCCACCGCTCCAGCCTCCTGCTCTCTGTGGTGCTTTGGGCTTGCATGATGGAGCACGGGCACGGTGGTGGCTATGGGAGGCTGCCTGACACTGGTTAAAGTATCTGCTGGAAAATTTACTTTGCAATTTCCTGAGCTTTCAGGGTCAGAAGTGGGTAGAAACCCTAGATGGGAGGAAAGTCTATTCACTTTCAAGTGGGAGGAAAATAAGAAGCAGATAGGCTTGAGCGGGGGCAGGCTGTACATTCTGAGCTCAGGCTCCTGGGATAGACAGTTCCAAAACCCTGCTTTCTTAGGAAGCGGACACTCACCTTCTCCTGAGATGATTGCCTTGTTCCAGATGGGACCACCCGGGTGGGGGGAGTGGCATTCAAATCCCCCCTCCCCTAACATTGCTCGGAGAAGGGAATGGAGCCCTTTAGGTGTGCTCTGCATTAGTGTCCTTGACCATCTTCATCGGTTTTATTCACTGATATCTTTTCAGTACCTGGAACAGCGCCCGACACACAGTAGGTGCTTAATGAATATTTATTCAGTGTAAGAATGACTATTCCTGACAATTAGCTGACTCTGCATAAATGCCCAAAATGGAGGTTAAAAAATAGGGAAGGAACTTGCTTTGATCTCTGGACAGAACTGAAGAGAAATATAAACTGGGGAGGCTGGAAGAATAGGCCAGAGTCAATGTGGCTGTGCAGGTTGTTTGGGAGATTTCCCATAGAGCGTCTGACAGGGGACAGGCAAGGGTCAAGAGTTTTCCCCGCAGCCTTTGAAGTTGACATCTCTTCTGAACTCTGTCCTCAGGGAAGATTTTGCACTGTTTGCTTCAAAGCCAAAGCTTTCATCCTAAGGTAGACCATCTCCTCTCTCTTCTCTTCCACGTGTGCTACTTCTGTCCTCTCCATTCTCCTTACCCTACAATTCTCCTTAATTACTAGTTTCAGTCCTCGGCAGGAAGACTGGGGCTTTGCAAAAAAAAAAAAAAATCCATTTTCTAAGTTCTTCCTTATCACGTTCACATGTCCAGTTTTCATGAGCCAGAACGTGACTCAAGCTGGGAAGTCAGAACCAACCGTGACTTTCAAAAAAAAAATGCATAGCACCTGACTAACTCAAAACTCGGTCCGACTCTGCAACCAGGGCCTGGAGATAGCTGGGAGAATTTATGATTCCCTTCTGGCAGCTGCAATTTGTCACTCCTGTTAGCACCTGGAGTAGGTAATAACTCTGCTAATGATCGGAGGGGTTGCATCTCCCAATTAGCATGTGAGGCTTAAAGATCACTTCTCACCTTGAAAGCATCCCGTGGCTTCTCTTCCTCTATGCACACTTAGAGGATGCATCACGTATTTGCACGAAGTTTGATTTTCTTTAGCTAGAGAAAGACCTGGGAATGCAGAGATGACTTCCTGGTATCCTCTGCAGCTCTCTGCACCGACCATACAGATCCTCTGTGTGCTTAGCCCAGGGTGGCAAATCAGGGCTTCAGAGCCACAAGCAAGGCCAAGGGGAAGAGACAAGAGGAGGGGGACCGGAGGAAAAAATCTACAAGAGGAGGAAGGAGGTGAGATGGGGACATGCATCAGCCAGCTCAGTTGTCTTCTGTGTGTCAGCTGCAGGACACCGCCCTGTCCTCTGAAGACCTCCACTGCTGGCCCTGGGTGATTCTATCCTCATACTTGAAAAGACACTGGTTGGCTAGTGTCTGTTCCCTGTCTTATTGGAGTGTTCCTGGGGTTCAGGTGTGTACCTCAATGGGCTGGGAGACGAGGTCCAGGATGGAAAAGCCCAACTCTGCAGAAACAGTGACAATACATTGGTCACAGTCCACTGTGACCCAATGCTGGATACCACCTAAATATGAAAATCAGTTTCTGAGCCAGAAGTTCAGTTGCAGCTCTGCAGATTTCTTTTTACAACCGTTGAACAACATACATGAACTAGTCTTGTCTTATGACGTCAGTTCTGCCCTTGCCCTGGGAGGCTCCAGCTTCAGAGCTCCATTTCATAAGCCCAAAGGATGCCTGTAAGTGCACTGGGCCTGGGTCTGTGGCTGTTATGGTTCAGATCTAGAATATTCATCCCCAAACTTACGTGTTAGGAAATGCAGCAACATTCAGAAACAAAAAGATGGACCATGAAGGTTATAACCTCATTAGTGGATTAATCCACTTGATGGATTAATAATTCGAATGAACCACTGGGTGGTAGCTGGAGGCAGGTGGGGTATGGCTGGAGGAAGGAGGTCACTGGAGACATGGACTATATCTGTCCCTGGCCCCTTCTTCTCTCTCTCTCTCTGCCTCTTGGCCGCCATAAGCAGAGCAGCCTTTCCCACCATGCCTTCCTGCCATGATGTTTCTGCAGTGGAGTCACCAACTGTGGACTGAGAACTCTAAAACCACGAGCCAAAGTAAATCTCCCCTCCTCTCAGTTGTTCTTGACGGGCATTTTGGTTGCAGCAACCAAAAGCCAACGCACACAGTGGCCCGGGTTGGCCTTACCTTTTGCATCTTTCTGAGGTTCTGTTTTGCCGGGAGAAGGACCTTCCTCGGGAGCCTTGTCTCCTGTCTCCTTAGCTCCGTTCTCAGTGCCTGGGGCTCCCTCCTCCCTCTGCAGTGACCGACCGTGGGGGGGGCGGGTGCTGGTCTTCGGGTGGATCTTCTTGCTTCTTGTTCTTCCTCTTCCTCTCACGGGGAACTCTAAACAGAGAAGGAATCCGCCACCGTTAGTTCTGAGGGTCTGAAGAGTGGAACAGTCCCCCAATGAGTGGCCAGCATGTGGCCGTGAGAACAAGGGGTTGCACTGGAGTTCAGCTTCATGAAGAATGATTTAACCTGGATGAAAAGAAGTTGATGCTCTCGGCAGATTTTCTTTCTTTCTTTCTTTCTTTTTTGCAGAACACAATTAGGAGAAGAGTGTGACCGTGTTCTCCAGAGCAGTCAGATAGTGACCCACACTAAGGCCTCCCGTGGGGACACCATGCTTTTTGTTCTGTGGGTAGAGCATCATCTGCAGGTGAGATTCTGCCCCCACCCTACATCATGTCAATTATTATTATTTTTTGACTTATGACACAGTTCCTCGGGGACTCTCAAGCACCCAGTTCTTCTCCCCTCCAAGTCCTCCTGACCGGAACCTGCTCACTTCTGCACGGTCTTCACTCCTTCCCCTGGCGCTGATACACCAGCAGAACCACCCTGAGCCTGGGAAATGCCTCAGGCCCTCAGGCTTCTGGGACTTGGCCTGGGTCCCTCCCTCTGGTGGGAATGCAGCACCTCCCCGTCCTCCTGGGAATGTCCACTTGTCACTTCCTTCAGGGCGCTGTCCACGATCCCCCCTGACTCCCACAGGCGAACAGAGCCCTGTCCTTCCTCTGGATCCTAGAGCCGGGCAAGTACCTTCATTTTAGTAATGACCAGTTGTGCTTCCAGGTCCGTTCTCACGCCACCTTCTGCTATAAGAAGAGCATGTGCCCCGCGAGGTCAGGCATTCTGGCCACCGGTCGAACAGTGGGTCTCTAACACGCAGCACTGGATCTTGCAAGAGGCAGATGCCCTGCCCCAATTTGATGGGTGGACAGCAAACTACTGGGTGAAGACAGAGAGGAACAAAAATGGAAGATTCCAAATATTAACTAAGGGGAAGGGAGAGTCTGGATGCCTTCTGATCAATCCCAATGTTATGGTTTAAGTAGGAAGCATCTCCCAAAAGTTCACGTGGGAGGCAATGCAAGAAAGTTGAGAGGTGAAATGACTGGGTTATGAGAGCCCTAACCTAATCAAAAAGCCAATCTGCTGATAGGGATTAACTGGGTGGTCACCTAGGCCGGCAGGGTGTGGTTGCGGGGAGGGAGGTCACCGGGCACATGCCTTTGGGGCACATATTTTGACCTTGGTGAGCAGAACTCTCTTGATTGCCATATCCTGAGCTGCTTCCTCTCTAGACCCTTCCCCATGCCCTTCTGCCTCTGTGCTCTGCCTCATCTTGGGCACAGAGGAATGGAGGGGGCCATCTATGGGCTGAGACCTCAGAAACTGTGAGCTCCATATAAAGTTTTCCTCCTCCAATTGTTCTTTTCAGGCCTTTTGGTTACCATAGCGAACAGCTGACTATTTAAAACACCCAGAATATTAACTATGGGGGAGGACAGTCTGGGGGAGCGTTTTAGTCAGCCCCAAATTCACGGTGGTGGCGAGAAGGTCCTTCTGTAAAGGCTGGGCCTGGGGTTGGTTGACAGTGTCCTGGGATCAGTTAAGGGCTCAGAGAGCAGGACACGGCTTGGCTTTGGCATTGTGGCTCCCCGCTCTGCAGAAATACTCAGGGGTAACATCTCTGATGGGTTTGATTTCCGCCTCCCCCCCAAAAACAAAAGAAATTCAATCTGAAAACCAGCATCCTAAAGGCAATCATTAGAAGATGATGGTTAAAGATTTAGAAATACCAGAGTCTCTACTGGACCCTTAATGGGAACATCAGTCATTGAATTATCTTCATGGATATTGGACAGAATTCTGAAATTTTCTTCATGCCATCCAGATTTTAAAAAGAGAGAGGGAGAGGGAGAGAGAGGGAGAGAGAGGAGAGAGAGAGAGAGAGAGAGAGAGAGAGAGAGGAGTGTCTCATTTTTCTTTTATGATCTTGAGCTTGGTTTCTGAAGTTGTGGTTCCTGAAACCTCCGTCTACTTCTCTTGCTCCTCTCAAAAGGCCCAGCTTAAGGCGTCAATGAACCTCACAGTGATGTGTAGCTGGGCAGATTTTTAGGCCAACAAAATTCTTAAGCTTGGAAAAACATCTGCTCTCTCCATCCATTAATTTCCTCCAAGTTTTCCAGCAAGTGGTGAATTTGACAACCCCAAGGCACATTTTGGCACTTTAAGGAAATGTATATTCAACGAGCGTGTTATCATACATTTCCCCAGCGCCCTCTTCAAGGATCTGAAAGTGTCTGGCTCACTTTGGGATTCTGGTCCATAAAGCTGT